GATGGATAATATAATTAATTATAATCAAAGAAATATATTAAAAATCTTACTAAAAAGATAAGAGTTGTACGAAAAGAGACTTTCTAAAGTCAATTTTCATTTAAATACTTATTAAATTGGAATTTTAAGAGTTGATCTTGATCCAATTAAAAAAAGGCCTTAGAAAAGATATTAAAATATAGTTAAAAGATTGTTAAACCATTGTTTATCGATTGGTGAACGACTCTTAAATTACTGTTTAACCATTGTTAATGAAGGTTGATTAGATTGATAACCTTTGGAGGACTAATTATTAAATCAATCACTTGATGCTATAGATTATTTGCTATATAATTAGTATTTGCTTAATACTTATTAAATTGGTATTTTAGGAGTTGATCTTCATCTAGGTAAAGGTTAAGAAATACTTTTTGTAGAACCATTTTAAATTTTGATTGGTTAGATTGGCGACCTTTCGAGGATTAATTATTGAATCACTATGCAATCGCATGATTCCAATTCAATCAATCGAGGCTGTAGATTATATGATAAATAAATAAGAAATAAATTTAATAAACAGTGAAGGCTTTAGTTCGGGGAAATCTGAGGCACTGACTACCTCTCCTCCTTTGGTACGCGTCACACGTCCAATTAATTACAATTCTTATCGGGAATTACATATCGCTGTGTACGCAATAAGCGTTCGTTTCTTGCTCCTCGAACGGCACATCAACAATGAGTCCGATGTCCGATGTCCATTGTACCATGTCCGCAGTCTTTGTCCCTGTCACTGGTCCTGCTCCTGCTCCTGTCCCTGCCCCTTTAGCCTGTCCGAAAGTCCTTGCTGTGTGTGTTTGTGTTTGTCTTGGCTCATCAGGCTCGCCTTATCGGCACAGGGCAATCAGGCGCAGCATTGTTTTCGCCTTCATTTTGTACTCATTTCTTTTTTACTTTCCCCTTTCCACACTTTCCACACTTTCCTCACTCTTTTACTTTGCTGTTTTTCTGCCTTGCAGAGACCCTGGTTATCCTTATCCTGTCAAAAGGACTCCGTTTTGGCGGAGCCAGTTATTTGCTCTGCCTCGTTTACTCGACTTTCGATTCACTTTAATTGTTATTGTCTTGGGTCTCCGCCCACTTGGCCAGAGTCCTTCAGTTGCTTCTTGCCTCAAAGGAGCAGAAGCTCCTCCTTTTGACCTATTCAAATTCATCTTCATCTCAAGCTCAAGCTCAATCTCAAGCTTGAGCTCGAGCTGGAGCCACTTCACTCAATACGCAATTAATGAGTGCAAGTGTTTAATTTCTTTTTAATGTGTTTATTTTAATGCATTTCCAAACATTTAGCTTCCAGCTGCAGTTACCAGGGGGTGTTGCAAAGATAGATGTAGGAGGAAGGAGGAGCTGCTACAGAAGAGGCGCATTCATTTGGCTATGCAAACTTTTCAACGCGCTTTCCCTTGGCTTTTCAAGGGTCCCAGCAACAACGAGAGCGAATGAACGAAACGAACGACAAGTGGCTTTTTAGCTACATCAAAATCAACACGCCCTCCTGCTCCTCCAGCTCCTGCTCCTCCATCTCCAGCTGCCTTTTTCCAGCTACCCAGAGTGGCTTTTAGGTGGGAGTGTGCTCTCGGAATTATGCAACTATTTTGTGCAAACAAGCGCAGAACACAAAACTGGGTGGCAGCCACAAGGATGTCAGGAGGCAGGAGCAGGCGGCAGGAGCAGGCGGCAGGAGCAGGCGGCAGGAGCAGGCGGCAGGAGCAGGCGGCAGGAGCAGGCGGCGCCTATCAGTAATCATCCATGGCAAGCGGAAGCGGCGCACCAGCCACCACCGCAGCGGGGTGCCAGAGGACAGGAAACAGGTGTCTGTCTGACTGACACGTCTGCATTCGATTACCTTGGCATCGACACATCGACATCTACATATAATGAGGAGGCTGTGCCGGCGGATGCGAGGGTCAGGTGCGCCTCAGCCTCGAAAGGGTGCCGATGTGGGACGCGTTAGTTCGCATCAAGAGTAACTTGAATTAGAGGCGAGAATGTGTTTGTTACATCTCTCCAATGATGAATCCCAATTAACTTAAACTTGCGACTAATGAGTAGAAGGTTTAAGTGGGCAATGTGTGGTATGTGGAAGAACTAAGATGCAGTGGAAGAGAGCTCTTATAAAGGGAGTGTATATAAGGCAAGACTTCTCTGTACAGAATACCTTGTCTTCCGAGGGGATATATTCAATGTAATATAAAGAAAAAAGTTTCTCTCTTAATATCATGTAAAAAATATTCTCTCGAATCGTGAACAAACAATCCTTCTGTGTGTCATAAAATGGCCTTATTACGAGTGATTCTCTTATCAAAAACAGGTTCTGCAATCAGTGAACCAGAATTAAGAGAGTCCACCAAGCAGAAATATGTCTCAGGGACAAGGAGTAGATTTAACACAAAGGCTAAAGCCGCAAATAATCCGTAAAAATAATCGAAATGGTAGGACAACTACTCTATAAGAAGAAAAAGCTTCTGATTAAAGGTCTAATACCATTTTTTGAGTCAATATTTATCAATAATTTTTAATGACAATTTTTATACAAACCAAATCTTAAATTATTTATAACTCAGCCAAAACAGCATTAATTTTAATTCGGAAAGCAGTCCTATGTTAGTTTTACAAGATTAACAAATCTGCATACTCAATAAAAAATGTTAAAAATTTGACATTTTTATCAATCTTTCGAAATTTTAACGATGTAACCCCTTATAAAATTATGAAAAATTGGAAAAAATTAAATTTTTGCGGGACATACCTAGATCGACGCGGATTTTTGTGCTGATCAAGAATATATATGATCTATGGGGTCGGAAATGACTCCTTCGCGAGTTAGAAGCTTCTGACTAAAGGTCTAATACCATTTTTTGGGCTAATATTTAACAATAATTTTTAATGACAATTTTTTAGACAAACCAAATCTTAAATAATTTATAACTCAGCCAAAAAAGCATTAATTTTAATTCGGAAAGCAGTCCTATGTTAGTTTTTACAAGATTAACAAATCTGCATACTCAATAAAAAATGTTAAAAATTTGACATTTTTATCAATCTTTCGAAATTTTAACGATGTAACCCCTTGTAAAATTATGAAAAATTGTAAAAAATTATATTTTTGCGGGACACACCTAGATCGACGCGGATTTTTGTGCTGATCAAGAATATATATGATCTATGGGGTCGGAAATGACTCCTTCGCGAGTTAGAAACTTCTGACTGAAAGTATACTACCCTCTTGGAAGGGTATTAAAATAGCTAAGATATGCCGGGGGTTAAACGTTCCAAGCAGCTTCCAGAGCCACAGCTACAACCACAGTCAGAGTCAGAGTCAGAGTCGGAAATTAAATATAAATAAATAAGTGCGCCGAATAATAATACGAAAAAGCGCCGTCGAGTCTGGTCCTGGCACTGAACAAATTGAAGTCTCACTCACAGATATCAACGCATAAATATTAAATGAGAGACTGAGAGGAAGGACGAGTGGGAAAGGACTCGAGTTCGGTTTCTGTAGCCGTTGCCAGACCTCCGTCTGAGTGGCTTCATTCGCCTGAGCAGGAGTATATATCCATATATCCTTCACTATATATATATATATATATATACGTATATATATATATACTGGCGTCGCATATCCTGGGCGCGCGTTTCCTCATTATTTTTGTGCAATCGCTGTAGGCGCTTTTGACTGCCTGCCTGGTTCCTGCCTTCTCCTCCTTCGTCTTCCATTGTGGCCTCCGCTTTATTCTCTTTGCTTTCTCCTCTTTGTTGTGCCCCACACACACACACACACACACACACACTTCCCTACACACACACAATGTCCTGATCCTGAACGAATCTCTGGGCACACAAAAAAAAGTGTTAAGATTTTACATTTTTATGCCTTGAGTTCACAATTTTAGCTGGGCCGCTTTTGTGGCTCTTCCCAGCCATTTGTGCAAATTGCCGCAGTGAAGGGTAATATTGTTATATATATTATGCATGTTATATATAGAAATGTATATACATATATAGAAAGATGGTGATCCGGTGATTCAATGATATCACCCAGGCATTTCCCCCGTGAAAAGGCACTTCATTTGCATCCCAGGCGGTGACTGCATAAAAATGAAAGTTAAGCACTCATTAAGGCATCGCTTGACTAAGTTATTCAGCAACAATAACCACATTATAAGGAGCAGGAAGCAGGAAGAGCAGCAGGAGCAAGGAGAGCAGCAGGACCTGGTTCATTAAATTTTCCATAAACAGGAGCTTTACACATAAGTCGGCAATCTGTCAGAGGAGATCTCTCAGAAACTGGGGAAAATTAAAGAGGCTGCCTGTCAAGTCGAGGCTTAAAGCCTCAAATTCTCGCTCTCCTTCTCCTGAAAGTAATTTGATTATGCACACAAGCAACGAAGTTTTCACGCCGCGTTGCATTCACATAATAGCTGAAAATGGATGAAAAACTATGGGAAATAGGAAAAACTAAAGGGGGAACAAAAAAAAACAAAACAGGTGAGCCCTTTTGCCATTTGTATTTGCAAACACTCACTCTCTTTCACCCTGAATGCTGACTTAATTTGTTGACTAAATGACATAATATATACACACACAGGGGCCAAAACGGGGTAAATATCAAAAGGAGTCCTGGCCACCGGGGCGTATGCGTAATGCCACTTCATACCCCACCTAAGCATTGACCTTATCCCGCTCATTTATCAAATACTTGTCCCAGACATTTCTGCATTATAATTATATGTATGTATTTGCATAAACTAATGGGGGCTGAGTGTGATGTATGACCAGGAGGCAAGAGGGTTTCCCATTCCAGAAACTATATCTTGTGTTTGGTCAACTAATGTAAGTTGGAACCATTAATGAGTAATGGGTTTAGCCTTAAAGATCTGCAAAATAAATGTATTTTCATAGAAATCTTTAAACCCCTTTCCTTTTATTTATAATTAATTAATAATTGAACTCGCTCCTCTTTTCAGGTTTCCTCTCCTGGGACGTTTCCGATTGTCACGTCGATTTGGAAGAGGAGCTCAATACAATTACACAGCATGCGCCCGAGGGCGAGGAGGCTCGTCACGGTAAGTTTTTTAATCAATCAAACAAAGTCTTAATTAGTTGTAAGTAGTAAATCCTAGATACCAAATCCTACTACTTCTACTAATCGGAGATCATTGACTATACAGAATAGAAACAATGGGGACTGAAGGGGGGCCAAATTACAAAAGTTATCCTAACGAATTATTATGACAATTGTCCATAGACAACGACGAGAGAGGCCAGGATTGCGAGGATTGCCAGGATTGTCAGGATTGGATGAACAACAATTGGATGCACAAAGCCGAGAGAGCTCAACGCTTTTGCAGCTTTTGTTGTTGTTGTTCACTTGCCTTTGTTGTCCTGCTGTTTTGGCTTTTGTGATAAATCCGAGACCAAGAGCTGCACTTTCATGGCACCCGAATGCAGCGGCATCATCATCATCATTATTCACATCATCGTCATCATTGTTGATGGCAGCAGGCAGCAACAATGATCCGGCTGACGGCACTGTTGTCTTTGCGGATTAGACTAAAACGCCGTTGAAACGCACTCAAGTGGCTGCCACTATATCATGGCATCCCGGCATCCCGGCATATCCTGACTCCTCTGTTTGCTCCTGTTTGCACACTTCGTTGACTCGCTCTGGAGATGATTGGGATTTAGCTGCTCTCCATCAGTCCGCTGGAGTCGCATAAAATGCAAATCTCGCTGTTAGGAACCAGAGATTTCAAACTTAAAGTTTTCTCTCTTGCATTTCATTTAAGATTCATTTCTAAACATTGTGTGTTAGTGGCCTAAAAATGAGTAGGTTTCTCCCCATAGTTTCAAGGCTAGCTGAGGAGGACACAGAACGACCCCAACCCAGACCCAGAGCCAGGCAGTGATAAGGCGCGTTCCTCTGCTCCTCGGGAGGCCTCTCGTTTGATGCCGATGCCGAGGCGTTGTCCTTGAAGGACATGCTAAGTGCAACACCTGCGCTCAATGCCCTCCATTCAGCCCATTGTCCGGACGGCAAAAGTTGGCAACGCCAGCGGATTTTCCATTTTCCATTTTCCATTTGCATTCGCAATCGCATTTTGTTTGCTCTTACCGCCCGTCTCCTTCTACGCCTTCTATGGACTCGAAACTACTCAAACTCAAACAAAATTCTCAAGTGGCGCGCCGCCACAGAAGCGGTCCCTGGTCCCTGGTCCCAGGACCAATAATGATGTTGGTGGTGGTGGTGGTGGTGTCCTGCGAAGGGGGAAGGATGCGAAAGCGGTAGAGAGACCCTCGAGGCGCGATTGAGAGTGCACAGAATGCACTCGCTTCGCCGGGCTTTTTATGTGCTCCTCACGCGGAAAAATAAAAGGGGAGGTCGTCTGACCACCTAGCCAGATGCCCAAGATGGACCCTGGCCTGTACCGAAAGCTGCTCCAATTAAGAAGACTCGTTTGCAAGCGCATAATTCATGTTTTGCGACTGCACCCGGCTTGTCCTTAGCTCTCCTCAGGCGACGTTTCTCCTGTCAAAGTTGTGTTTAAAGTTGGTCCAATGACTTGACACTGACCCGAGCCTTCGTCCTCATTGGCACCTGCCCGTGGCTGCCTCTCTCGTTGTTGCCGCCCCCCACCTTAAACACTGAGTTTTTGATGCAGTTTACTTAAGTTTCCCTTTGGGGAAACAAAGTTGGGGGAAAACTTTGACTTTGACAGAGATGTCCCATCAAGAAAACGGTCCCTCAAGTCAGTTCTAAACTGGAGCTGGACCTAAGTGTGATTGATTTTGTATAGTCACAAAGACACTGGTCGAACTAGGTTGGCAATCCTTAGGATGACTTGGTTCCATTACTTTTTTTGTGGATGTTCCAGTTACTTAAAACTCTACTTCCACTACCCGTTTCTCGTTACTCCATTACCCCTTTTAACCAATACTTTTCTCGCTTTTCTATGCTCATCCCACAATTATCTAGCTCTCTCTGTTTTGGTCTCGCTTATTTGTGCCTACAATCGCTACTCGTTATTTTGTAGCCCCCACATTCGACACTTGACTTGAGCTTTACTGCTCCTGTTTCTCCATTTTCTCGTTAATCGCTATATTGTAAACCTGAGACTCGCTTTCATCGTTTCCGTTTCTCCATTTTCTTCCACTTACTCGCTATTTTAAACAGTTTACCGGGTAGTTGCAATCAATACGTGTTATTTTCAAATCATTCTCCTCTCTCGACACTCGACCCTCGGCACAACTCTTTCGAGCTCTCGGGATTATCGGGGGACTTAGACACATTCTTATCGTGCCTAAGCCAAATCCCACACAAGCAATGAATGGATGTCTAGATGGCTGATGATGAGGGGGCGTGGCACGTGGCAACGTGGCACAATGGGCCGTATCACGACCCCAACACACATAACCTCAAAAGCCATACCAAGTTCTTGAGATAAAACGTATGCAAAATTGATAGAAAAGATAGAGTCCGTGCGGCCCACACATACACTCAAAGACATGCCTACAAATACACAGAAAGACTGAGCAACAAGGATAGCAAGTGAGTGGGAGGCGGCAGGACTACAAGGACGCCCTGCGTGTGCGTGTGTGCTGTGTTCATGCATAATTCAAGCAGCGAGACAGAGAGGGAGATAGATGGAGGCAAAAGACAGACAAAAGTTGGGCAAATATCGAAGGCGGACTGACTGCCAGACCGACGGACTGAACACACGGACACGATTTGCATATGGATGGAATGGGACGCCTAGTGGAAGTGGTCCAGTGGCAGCGATAAGCGACTAAACTGTGTCTCGCTCGCTCACTCGCTCGCAGAATATGTCGCAACGTGTCGCAACATGTGACAGGACATCAATTAATATCAGCGAGAGACGAGAGACGTGAGAGAGAGAGCGAAGAACAGCTGACGTCTGTCATTTGCGGAGACTCTTGCCGGCGGCATCCTTTTAATTATGCCAGCACAAGGAGGAGGAGGAGGCGATGAGTGAGGACATACCGCGCACTGACATGTTACAACATGTTATTGGCTTTGTTCAACAGGAGCGTTGGTCCTACGATTCCCCATCGTTTATGTAACTGAGTGCCACAAAGAAGCTGGCCTACTCCTGATTAATGATGCTGCTGCTTGGTCGCTTTTCAGCGGCAGTCCATCGTTCGTTTCGTTTTTCGAATGCAGCTGAAACCGCTAATTAAACTATCATCATTGTGGTAATACCCAGGAGGGATTAGTGCACTGGACGTTGCCAAAGCCGCGAGCTGTCCGGCAGGGATAAGCGCAGCCAATTAAGAGCCATCATCATCATCATCACCATCATCATCATCATCATCGTGGCAGGGAATTGGTAATGGGATAAGGGATCAGGCAAGATGAGCTACAATGTGTCCAAATTCATAGCCACGTGAATATGCAAGGCGTTAATGTTCATAATTCATTAGCCTTGGGGCTTAGCCACTGGTCATCTGTGTGGGGTTATGTATGAGTGTGTGTAGGAGTTTTAAATGGGTTACATTATTAATGGGAAAGGGAAAGGGGGTGTTGTCCTTTATTATTACCTTTCCAGGAGTCTGTTATCATCATTCAAAAAGCAAGAATAGTTTGATATGAAAGATATCCCTTTCGAACTTAGACATCGTCAAAGATTCCTCGTGGTGGTGAGCTCCTCAGGCGGCATTCGACCTCCTGTATCGGTCCGTTGTCCACCTGCACCGGAGCGCTCTCGCCAAACTGGTGGTTGCTAATCTCAGTTGATAGAAATCTTGGCATTACCACGGTCGTCGAGGAGGACACAGACGAATAGTCCAAGCTGCGCTCGTTATCGCAAAGTAGTCCATCTGCCGAAGTGCGAACTCCAGGTCCTGCATCTCCTCCTGCGGCATCTCCTCCTCCGCTTTTCCGATACTCTCCAATATACACCATCTCCTGACGGTTAAATTTGCGCCTCCTGGCCATTGCCTGCTCGGCCCGCTGCAGCCGTCGCTTTTCCCTGGCCATCAGATCCATTCCCTCCTGCACCAGCTCCGTGGCAATCCTTTCGTTCTCCAGGAACTGTTCGAAGCCCAAGGCACTGAGGGAGTTCAGCACCCGACTTCCCACTCTGAACCACGTGGCCAGGCAGATGATCAGCATGCACATGGGAAAGTATATATTGAAGCCATTCGCAATGATGCCAATGACATCCATGTGTCCCATTATGTGTGTGTAGGCGGTCTCCTTGATGCGTTCGGGAATGATGTGCGTGTCCATGTGGATGAGGCCCAGGAAGTTCAAGCACATCGGTGGCGTCAGGCGGCAGAGGAGCATGCCACTGAAGATTAGGCTCAGTTCGTTGGTCTGATGATGCGGTGCCAGATAGTACAGGTTGAGGAATCGAATCCTCAAGATGGTGGAGTAGGTGCAGTAAAGGAAGTAGCACAGGACTGTCGTGGAGAGAACCTCAATGGTGAAGAAGTTGTTGCTATCCTTGGCCACATAGATTGCGTTGGCGAATATGGATAGCACGGGACGGCGACAGAAGAATGTCAGTTCGCTCCACACGACCATGACGGACATGGTGGCGGTGAGAATGGACATAATCCTGAGGAACGGCATCTTTAGCCTGCATTCCCAGTACCATTCCATCGTGGGGCTGTACCACATCCTCTCCAGCTCCGTTCGCTGCCGCGGAAACTCGGACTTGAAGCGTCTCTCCAACGATTGCATATTCCTGGCCACATCCTCCAAATGCAGCACCATCTGCACCTGCAAACTCCACAGGGCCTCGGCTCGCTGGAGGGTCTGCAGTGCCTTGATTACCTGGGCATGGATGCGAATCAGTGTCTTCTCCGTGGGCTCAATCGTGAAGCTGGTGTTGGAGCGGGCAAAGCTGCCGCTCGATTTCACCAGCAACTCGACGGGTACCTTGAGCAGAATGGCCTCCAGGCAGGGTCGCAGCTCGTGACTGTGGGGCATCGCCTGGTTAATGCTCTGCACCGATTCCAGAATCTCGTCCACAAGCTCCTCGGCATCCGACTTTTCGCCATAGAGCTTGGCCGCCCTGAAGTAGGCATACTGCAGTGTGAATCCCGGCCTGCAGTTGTTCCACAAAGATCTTGGTACCTCTACCAAAGCGTAGCCCAGCAGCAGGATGTGCAGGAACAGACCCCAGGTGTTGGAGGCGGACGCAGCGATGGCCTTCTGTTTCTCCCAGTTCAGTTTCTCACCCCGCACGGCAATGTAGATGCGAAGTACCAGGCAGATTGACAGCAAGGCACCGTAGGTGATGCCATTCTGCCTCAGTGCTGACTTTAGCTTACCCTTGACGGTGAAATCCCCGGCCTTCAGGTAGGACCTCATCAGGGGCATGATCAGCCAGGTGAGGAGCTGTGAGCTCCAGTAGATAATGCGCCACAGATGGGGGAAGATGTGGGCAGGTACCATGCCCCAAGGCGCCTGGCACTCGGACGACGTGAAGGTGCTCTCATTACCGGAAGCAGCGATGGATCGATGCTCCTCCACGCACTGACGGTACAGGGTCGATGTCACGTCCAAGGGAATGCTGAACACAATCAGGAAGGAAAAACACCAAGCAGTGAGCACCGACAGAGTGACCAGGATGTGCTGTTGCGGTATGTTTCCATAGCGGTACAGGGAGATGGTGGCCAGGAAGAGGGCCGTCACGATTTCAAAAGTCAGCAGGAAGGCCATGTCTCTAGGGAATCCTTAAAATATCGATCGAATCAGCAAAGCGAATGCACAGCTCACAACGAAATAAATCACCGGTGACATTAGCATTGGGTGTGACAGCAAATGACGGATATTTCAATGCTGTAATGATAGTTTATAGTTGTTTCGAACTTATTAATCCCAAAGAAAACTAAGTGACAGTCTTTATTTTATGGTTAATCCTTGTATACATATATCCACAAGAGCTCCAAAGATTTCACTTAAACTTTAGTTTCCCTAAATATCTCAAAAATCTGAGGATAAAATCAACATCTGATTGTTGTTTCCTTAAACAGGATCATAAAACAGTTGACTCAATCATTTGGTAATCATTTCTCCGGAGCTGCCGCTGCCTCATTATGTCCTTTTGAAGACCAACTTGCTATTTCCTTTCCCTGTCTCTTCCCCCCAAGTTGAGGTCATTGCAAACTTTTTTTACACGTGCAGGCAGGGAGAGGCAGGCGCGTTGGCTTGACAGCTAACTTTTGGCCAAGTTGAGGGGGAGGGCCAAGGGAGGCTGGTCAAGAGCTGGACTGTAATTACGCTGCAGTCAAAAAAGAAAAAGAACCGAAAGGAAAAAATTGGGAGGAAAAAATACAGAAACGAAATCATAAAACACAAAAAGTTTCCGGCTGTGGCTCCTGCTGTTATGTAGATTTTTTTATTCACCATTTTCCACTTTTTCTCGACTTTTGTTTTTTCAAAATGGAAAACAAAAAACAACGGAAATAAGTAAAAAAGTTGGCAACGCCTGGTGCAGTTATTAACGGTTAATCTGGCGCCATGTTGCCACTTTATGTTGTGCCACGAGGTGGCCCAGGGCAGGATCATCGCATGTCCCTAGGAGTTTCTGGCTTTTACCAATTGTCATGGCTTTGCTTTTGAAAAGGACTTTATTCTCCCACAAACTAAGGTGCACAAATCGGAAGGAAGTCATGTCATTTCAATCTTTAATTCATGGCAAAAGAACTTCCTGAGGGGAAACTACACAGAACTGGTTCGGAAAACTCTAGTTCGATTGGTTTTCTATTACTGGCCCAGAATGCCGAACTGAAGGGACCCATTTCATTGTGGAATTTATTGCAGTCTGCAGCAGAGTCCGCATTCCATTTCATGTCAACTTTGGCGTCCATGCTAATGTTTTGTCTTAGCCACCAGCAGAGGCACTCTTCCTAGGTCTTCTGCCTCTGACTTTGCCTCCTCCTTAACCTTTCCTTTTTCCCCCTCACAGCCTTGGCTATAAACTATATTTTCTTATGGAGACACCGTTGAAAGTGACAAAACACAGACAGCACAACCTAAATTCACGAATATTGCGTATACGCACGGTCTGCCAGGTTGGAAGATTGAGCCAGAAGAAGGCCAGGGACTGGGACTCTCATATATATGTCACTGCGTTCCGCTCCGTGCGTGTTCCATGCTCGCTGCGATAAATATATATGCCGGCAGAGGAGGTGGTCGGTGGGAGGGATTATCATTTATAAAAAGCACAAGGGATACGGATACACACAGCACACCACACACCACACACCATGCCAGGCCGCGGGATCGGGCTCTAGCTCTGCCCCTGGCTGGGTGTGGAACGATAGCTGGACGAAGCCATAGCCATGGCAGCCCCACCTTGGGAGGAGCTCTGCCTCGCTCTTGTATTTTTTACGCGTACGTGAGCACATTTGACCGTTGGCCCCAAAGTGGGTGCAGTGGGGCAGGGGATTGGTTAAGGGAATAGGCAGAGCGGGAAATGTTGGCAATGGGGATGCATTGGACAAGGCAAAAACTGTCTGTTTGTCAACGACTATTTAGTGCGGAAAATGCGTAAATTATTTAGCTACCTACCTACTACACATTCGCATTCCCATAAAGCCATTGCCAGCAAAATAAAAAAAAGGCAAACCGAAAAAGGTCTCATCATCTGCAGCATCATCATCATCCTCCTCTCATTGGGGGTGGCCACCAAGGTCGCCGGCAAGGTCGCAGCAGCACCACCAGCCAGAACCTGGTACCGGCGCTTAATTAAAGCATTAAAATTAAAGATTCATTAAATGATTTCCCAGAGAGGCTAAGGCAAGGGATAGGGTCTCGGTCTCTGTGTGTTGTGATGCCTCTGTGTCGAGACAATAAAGCCAACGCTTGACAATCGAAATCCACTTGATGCGCCGTGCGTGCTCGAGTCCAAGTCCGTGCCGTGGAAGTGGACGTGGTTGTGGGTTTGGGTTTGGGTTTGGGTTTGCGTTTGGGTGAACCGAAACGAGGTCACCCAATAATGGGGCATACACTTGTAAGGAAGTTGGCAATTATCCCTAACTCCAGGTACTATTTGCTCCTTACAGGCGAACGACTCATACAGTATGCCAGCGAGAACCTGGTGACGGAGGTGCTCATCCATCCCCAGTACAATACGCTGATCCAGTGCATGCGCAACCTGCTTAGCAGCTTCACCCGGCACCGGCACATCATCCATGCCGGCTATACGTTCAGTGGCAATGGTTCCTGGATACTTCAGGTGAGTGTGGAATCTCCAGTGAGAGTGAACATCACACCCTCAGAGAGTACATTCCCTAAACTCTAATCTCTCGTTTCCCTGCAGGACGGAACCTTCTCGGTGGCGGACTTCTCGGAGGCCTTCCAGGAGCACGACGTACAAAGGGTGATTCGTGCCTATGCCGATACCATCACCATGAATATCCACTGCGCGGATGCGGGTCTTTGGCACACGCTGCCGGACAAGTCCTTTGCCCGTCAGTGCCGCATCAGGATCAATCCCGTGGATGTGCTGGAAACCAGTAGCGAGTACATCAATGGTTTTATAGGTGAGAAAGAGCTCTCGACCAACTTATATTACTGAGACTAACATGAATTCATTTGCAGACTACCTGGCGCCCATGGTGATGCCGACTTCGCTGCGGGAGCTGCTCGAGACCTCGGATGTGGTGGGCAACATTAGGTTCACGCATCCCACGCTTTACGTCTTCCCCGGCGGCCAGGGCGATGCAGCGCTCTTCGGGATCAATGGCTTCAACATGCTAGGTGAGATTAAATCTGGAATATCGAATCTATATCTTGTAACTCATGCTCATCTCTTTCTCATTCACAGTTGATGGCGGCTTTAATCGAAAGGCCTGCTTCTGGGACTTTGCCCGTCACTTGGACCGCCTGGACGCTGTGCTGATGACACGGCTGAACAACAGCAATGTCCAGGGACTGGGCGCCGTTGTGGCCCGCAAGAGGGACGCCCATGTCTATCCCCAGATTGGACACTTCTTTGGCAACGTACCTGATCGTCGGGGCTGCCTGCCCGGCAGTCCCGATGGCGACAAGGATCGCGACCCGCTGCTCATCGATCTCTTTGAGCGCGGCCATGGCATCGTCAATGACCTGAAGGCGTTGGACCTGAAGCCGCAGGTCTGCTACCGCAACCAGGAGCCGGTCAATCTCTACCACAAGGTGGGCCACGGCACCCTGGACATGTATGTGATAAGTCCGGCCCGGGACTCCAAGGAGGTGAAGGAGTTCCTTCAGAAGTGGCATGCCGGCGATCAGCGGCTCTTTGCTGGCCGCGATTCGCGGGACTTCAACTTTCCTCTGCAGAATCTCGTCTCGATTTGCGCTCTCCTCGTGTGGCAGCCCGCCAATCCGGAGGACACTATCACACGCATCCTCTTTCCGGGCAGCACGCCCGACTTCAAGATCCAGGAGGGGCTCGAGAAGCTCAAGCATCTGGAGTTCATGAAGCACTCCACCTGCACGGCCAAGTCCATAGCCCCGGCCATGGCCATCCAGACGGTGGCCAGTACGCGCAAGAGCCTCAAGTCGGCCATCGAGGCCACGCCCGCTCCGCCCAGTGCTACGTACAAGAGCGCCAAGTTCGGAGCACCTCCTGCCCAGCAGCAGGACAACAAGGCCAAGGAGGCGGCGGCAGCGGCAGCAGCGGCGGCGGCTGCAGCAGCGGCAGCTCAAGCTGCCTCCATAGTTCGCACCAAGGCGGATTCCATAGACACGGATGCAGAGCCAGAACAGGAGCAGGAGCCAGAGCCGGAGCCCGAACCCGAGCAGGCCGAGGATGAGGCTGCTCCCGAGACAGAGCCCGAGCAGGACAACAAGGATGCCGGCGAGGTGGAGAAGAAGGTGGAGAAGGAGGTGCTGCCCCAGGCACCGGTGTCTGCTCCAGCTGCCGCCAAGGATGCTGTGGATGCCGTGGCAGTGGCCCCACCTGTTGCCACCGATGCCACACCCACCAGCAAGCCGGTCGCCAAGACTGCATCCAAGGCTGCCAAGGCAGACAAGCCAAGAGCCGAGGTGAAGCCAGTGGTGCGCTCCCGTATCGATACCAAACCGCCCAAGTCCATGGACCGCAAGCTGGCCAAGCCGCGGGATGAGAAGAAGAGTTCACCGACGGCCACGCCTGCTGCCCGGGCCTCCGCCGCCAAGGCAGCCAAGGCTCCACTGAGCAGCCGTCCGATGGCCACCACCAAGTCCAGTCCCAGCAGCACGCCAGCCAAGAGTGCCAAGGAGGCCAACAATCGCAAGGTGCTCGAGTCCAAGCAGCAGGCGGCCCGGGTGCAGGCCACCAGCACGGCACAGCAGGCCAGGCGAGTGACCTCGGCAACTGCCAGTGCCGAGAGAAGGGTCCAAACGGAGACGAAGTCAGCAGCCTCGACAACGACGACGACTGGAGCAGTGCAGCAGCGGAAGCCCATTTCGAGGAGACCGCGCGGCGTCTCGCCCTCGAAGCGAGCTCCTGCCCCCGGCAGCCCCGTGAAGCAGGCCAAGCCCAACCTAAAGAAGACGCAACGTTTGGAGAAGGGCGGAACCACCACCGACTCCAGTCTGGTGTCCACTCCCTCCGCCGACGAGGCGACGGCTGCCAAGAAACTCCTCCAGGATCTGACAGCCTCCCAGGAGCTCGATGCGGAGAAGCAGCGCGAGCTGGACGACCTCAAGGAGGAGCAGGAGGTGGTGCGCGAGATCGAGGCGGTGTTCAGTCGCGACGAGATGAAGCGCCACCAGCACCAGCAGCAGCAGCAGATCAAGGCCGAGCTGCGTGAGATGCCCGCCGGTGGCGGCGGCGATGGCGAGGAGCCCGAGGAGGAGGAGGAGGAGTACCTGATCATCGAGAAGGAGGAGGTGGAGCAATACACCGAAGACTCGATCGTGGAGCAGGAGAGCAGCATGACCAAGGAGGAGGAGGAGATCCAGAAGCATCAACGCGACTCGCAGGAATCGGAGAAGAAGCGCAAGAAGAGCGCCGAGGAGGAGATCGAAGCGGCCATTGCCAAGGTGGAGGCTGCCGAGCGAAAGGCGCGTCTGGAGGGCAGCACTGCGTCCGCTAGGCAGGAGGAGGCCGAGACCCAGGAACACCTAGAGACAAGCGATATCAAGGCCGAGGTTCAGGAGATAATAGCCACGGCCAAGGACTTGGTCAAGGAGCAACTGGTTGCCAAGCCAACTGAGGAGACGGAGCTCTCCTCCCCCACGCCCGAAGAGAAGCTGAGCAAGAAGACATCCGACACCAAGGACGAGCCCGTGGAGGAGCCAGCCGTCGACGCCCTGCCCGTCAATCTGCAGGAGAGCCTGCCCGAGGAGAAGTTCTCGGCCACCATCGAGTCAGGAGCCACCACAGCGCCCACCCTGCCCGAGGATGAGCGCATTCCCCTCGATCAGATCAAGGAGGACCTGGTCATCGAGGAGAAGTACGTCAAGGAGGAGACCAAGGAGACGGAGGCCATTGTGGTGGTGGCCAGCGTTCAGGCTGTCACCGAGGCAGCTCCCGACGCTGCCATCAAGGCGGATATCCTTACCGCAGCCACGGTCGCAGCCAAGGATGTAGGAGCAGCTGCTCCGCAGATCGGCAAGGCTGAGCCCGATTCCGGGGAGCGCGTCCTGCCCATGAAGATGACCTTCGAGGCGCAGCAGAATCTACTGCGAGATGTGATCAAGACGCCCGACGAGGTCGCCGATCTGCCCGTGCACGAGGAAGCCGACCTTGGCCTGTACGAAAAAGATAGCCAGGATGCCGGCGCCAAGAGCATTTCGCACAAGGAGGAGTCTGCCAAGGAGGAGAAGGAGACCGACGACGAAAAGGAAACCAAGGAGACGGAGGCAGAGGCAGAGGCAGAGGCTGAAGTAGAGGCTGTTGCAGAAGCAGAGCCAGAGGAAAAGCAGGAGAAGGCTGACGAGGAGGCGCCCAAAGTAGTCGAAATCCTCGTTTCCCCTTCACCCAAAGAAGTGGCCGCAGAGGAGGTCTTTGAAGTCAAGGCAGCCGAGAAGGTGACTCCCAAAACTGAGCCACAAGAGGAGGAAACGAAGCCTGAAGCAGGAGATGACAAGGACAAGGAGCCCCAGGCCGCAGAGGACGAGGCAGAGCCATCGGCAGCTGTCATCATCACCGAAAAGGAGGCCAAGAAGTCAGCCAGCACGCCCGAGGAGAAGGAGACCAGCGACATTACCTCCGAGGATGAGCTGCCCGCCCAGCTGGCGGCCCCTCTGTCTGCCGTTCCCCCCAAGGAGGCCAAGGAACGCGAGGATACCGTCTCCATGGAGAGTCCAGCCACCATCGAGGAGGCCATAGAAGTGGAGGTGCAGGTCCAAACCAAGCAGACCCAACTGGAGGCCCAAAAGAAGCAGCCAGAGACGGAGGCCAAGGCAGATGCAGAACCAGAAGCAGAGCCAGAGAAGGAAGCCGAGTCCCGACCCGAGTCGGCAAAGCCCGCAAGTCCCAAGGATGAGGCCGTGTCCAAGGAAGCCTCACGTCGTGAATCCTTGGCGGAAAGCGCCAAGCCAGTTGAGAAACGGGCTTCCCGGCCAGAATCCGTTGCCGAGAGTGTCAAAGATGAAGCTCAGGCTGAGACAGAGCAGAGCCGTCGAGAATCGTTGGCGGAGAGCGCTAAGCCAGAGTCCAAGGATGCCTCCCGGCCAGAATCAGTTGCTGCCGACAAGTCCAAGGAACCATCACGACGGGAATCCATTGCCGAAAGCATCAAGGCCGAGAGCACCAAGGATGACAAGTCCCCACTGGCCTCCAAGGAAGGCTCCCGACCAGCCTCCGCCGAAGGTCTCATCGATGAGGTGGAAGCCAAGGATGAGAAGTCACCTGAAGCTGCCTCGAAAGAGGCTTCTCGGCCTCCATCCGCAGTGGGTGCAGCCGACAAGTCCAAGGAGCCATCTCGTCGTGAGTCGGTCGTCGAAAGCGTGAAGGACGAGAAGTCTCCACTGGCCTCTAAGGATGTGTCCCGACCTGAGTCCGTGGCTGAAAGCATCAAGGATCATGCCGAGAAGTTGGATGCCGAGGATGCTAAAATATCAGCACCTGCCTCCAAGGAAGCCTCGCGACCAGAGTCGGCTGTGGGCAGTGCCAAGGATGATGCAGACAAGTCCAAGGAGCCATCGCGTCGAGAATCCATTGCCGAAAGCGTCAAGGCTGAGAGCATCAAGGGGGAGACATCCAAGGAAGTCTCTCGGCCGGAGTCCGTAGCGGACAAATCCAAGGAGCCATCCCCGCTGCCATCAAGGGAAGTCTCGCGACCAGGATCTGTCCTTGGAACCACCAAGGATGCAGCGGAGAAGCCAGAAAGCCGGCGGGAGTCGGTAGCCGAGAGCATCAAACCGGAGAGCATCAAGGATGAGAAGGAGTCTCCCCTGGCCTCCAAGGAGGCTTCCCGGCCAGCTTCAGTTGCGGAAAGTGCTAAAGCTGAATCCCGCCGCGAGTCTGTGGCCGAAAGCGTCAAAGCGGAGAGTCTCAAGGATGCCTCCAAGAAGGCCTCTCGTCCAGCCTCCGTTGCAGAAAGTGCTAAGGATGCCTCCAAGGAGGCCTCTCGGCCAGAGTCAGTAGCAGAAAGTGTCAAGGACGAAAGCGGCAAGGCATCCAAGGAGCCCTCAAGACCGGCCTCTGTTGCCGAGAGTACCAAGTCACCCGTTGCGGTGTCCCGGGATGCATCCAGGCCGGAATCACCGGCGGAAAGCGACAAGGACGACACCGATAAGCCAGAGTCAGTTGTGGAGAGTGTTCAGGCAGTCAAGGAGGCCAAGTCGCCGCTGGCATCGAACGAGCCATCCAGACCAGCCTCCGTGGCGGAAGCTGACAAGTCGAAGGAACCATCTCGTCGGGAGTCAGTAGCGGAAAGCATCAAGGCAGAGAGCATCAAGGCGGACAGCACCAAAGATGACAAGTCAGCACCTGCATCGAAGGAAGCCTCCAGACCAGGTTCCGTCTTGGGAAGCGTCAAAGACGAAGCTGAGGCAGCAGAAAGCCGTCGGGAATCGGTTGCTGAAAGCATCAAAGCAGGCAGTGCCAAGGATGAGAAATCTGCTCAGGCTTCGAAGGAAGTATCCCGACCAGAGTCCGTGGCTGAGTCCGTCAAGGATGAGCCCGCTGCCGACAAGTCCAAGGAGCCGTCTCGCCGGGAATCGGTTGCGGAGAGCGTCAAGCCAGAGGCTTCTCCAATTGCATCCAAGGAGGCATCTCGTCCCGAATCTGTGGCTGAAAGTGTTAAGGATTCAGCTGCCCAGTCAAAGGAGGCGTCTCGTCCCGCATCAGTGGCCGAAAGCATCAAGGCAGAGAGCACAAAGGATGAAGCTGAAAAGTCCAAGGAACCTTCCCGACGAGAATCAGTGGCCGAAAGTGTAAAGGAGGAGAGTGATAAGGATGCCAAGTCCGCACTGGCCTCCAAAGAAGCATCCCGACCAGAATCCGTAGCAGAAAGCGTCCAGGCCGAGGCAGGCAAGTCCAAGGAAGCATCTCGCCGAGAGTCGGTGGCTGAGAGCGCCAAGGCGGAGAGCACTAAGGAGGAGAAGTCTGCACCAGCATCGAAGGAAGCCTCCAGGCCAGGATCTGTGGTTGAGAGCGTCAAGGACGAGACCGAGAAGGCAGAAAGTCGTCGAGAGTCCGTGGCAGAGAGCGTGAAACCAGACAGCGCCAAGGACGAAAAGTCTCCACTGGCATCCAAGGAAGCCTCACGACCAGAGTCCGTGGTCGAGAGCGTAAAGGACGAGGCCGAGAAATCCAAGGAGCCTTCCCGGCGGGAATCCATCGCCGAAAGTGTGAAGGCGGAAAGTACAAAGGACGAGAAGTCACCCATAGCATCCAAGGAGGCTTCCCGCCCGGAATCCGTAGCTGGAAGCGTAAAAGATGAAGCAGAAAAGTCCAAGGAGCCATCGCGACGAGAATCCGTTGCTGAGAGTTTAAAGGCGGAAAGTGCAAAGGATGAGAAGTCCCCAGTGGCCTCCAAGGAGGCTTCCCGCCCGGCATCCGCTGTGGAAAGCATCAAGGACGAAGGCCAGGAGGTAGAAAGTCGCCGTGAATCGATTGCCGAGAGCATTAAGGCGGGCAGTGTCAAGGACGAGAAATCCGCCCAAGCCTCCAAAGAAGTATCCCGACCAGAATCCGTGGCGGACGGAGCTAAGGAGGACGACAAGTCCAAGGAGCCTTCTCGACGCGAATCCCTGTCTGAAAAGGCGGCAGCTATTTCGAAGGAGTCCTCTCCCAGGCCTCTGTCCGTGGCCAGTGACCATGCCGAGCCGGAGCATAAGGCATCCCGCCCGGAGTCAGTGGCCGAGACTGCGTCTTCACCGATCGAGGAGGCTGCGATGGAGTTCCCAGAGTCTGCGGAGGAGGTCGTGAAGAGGGCTAGCCTGGCGCTCAATCTTCAGGCGGAGCCAGCAGGAAAGCTGCCCACGGACTCGAGTCCCGTCGACGTGGCCGAAGGTGACTTCTCCCATGTGGCCGTAGCTCCCCTTTCCGCTGCGGCAGTGGCCTCACCCTCGAAGCCAGCTGAGCTGTCGAAGATCGGTGCCGCCGCCACCGTCTCATCGCCCGTCGACGAGGCACCCAAGACTCCATCTGGCTCAGAGCACGAGTCCCGGCCAGAGTCACCAGAAGAATGCCCAGAGCCAAAAATTGGTGATGCCAAGGAGGCAAAGTCACCACTCCCAGCTTCGAAGGAGGCCTCGAGGCCCGAGTCTGCGGCCGAAGGCAGTCACGAGAGTCCCAAGGATGACAAGTCAAAGGAAGCCTCTCGTCCGGATTCGGTGGCAGACTCAAAGGAACCTTCTCGTCCCGCCTCGGCGGCTGCTGAGACTGCCTCATCCCCGATCGAGGAAGCGGCCAAGGAGTTCCCACAGCTGAACCTAGAGCTTAAGGGCAACCTCCCAACTCTGTCCAGTCCCGTGGATGTGGCCCATGGTGACTTCCCCCAGACGGCAACACCCACAAGCTCTCCCACTTCGGCACCTGGGCAACCGGCCGAGCTGTCCAAGGTCGATATTGAGGCGACTGTATCGAGTCCGGTGGATGAGGCAGCCAAGTCACCAATCGGATCTCACGTATCCCCCTCGGAGCGTCCCGCATCTCCGGCCGAGAGTGCCAAGGATGAGGCTGAGCAGGTTGGTTCCCTGATCCACTCCAAGGAGCCCTCGCGCCGCGAATCTATCGCTGAAAGTACAAAGGCAGAAAGTGCCAAGGATGACAAATCTCCGCTCGCCTCGAAGCCAGCCTCCCGGCCAGAATCAGTGGCTGGCAGTGTTAAGGCGGAGGAGGAGTCCAAGGAGCCATCACGACGAGAATCCCTTGCCGAAAGCGTAAAGCCAGAGAGCGCTAAGGACGACAAATCAAAGGAACCTTCCCGACGCGAATCCGTGGCGGAGAGCGTAAAGGACGAAGCAGAAAAGTCCAAGGAACCGTCACGACCCGTATCCGTCGCCGAAAGCCTCAAGGCTGAGAGCACAAAGGATGAGAAGTCACCGCTGGCCTCCAAAGAGGTCTCCCGACCAGCTTCGGTGGTGGAGAGTCTTAAGGATGAGGCGGAGAAGGCAGACAAGTCGCCGTTGGCCTCCAAGGAGGCTTCCCGTCCAGCATCAGTGGCTGAAAGTATCAAGGATGCAGCTGAAAAGCCTGAAAGTCGACCAGGCTCCGTGGCTGAGAGTGCCAAGGATGGCAAGTCGTCCCCAGTGGCCTCCAGACCCGAATCCGTGGCGGAGAGTGTCAAGGATGAGAAGTCCAAGGAGCCATCTCGACGCGAATCTGTCGCAGAAAGCACCAAGGATGACAAGTCTGCTGCAGCCTCAAAGGAAGCCTCCCGTCCGGGCTCAGTTGTGGAAAGCCTGAAGGCTGAAACTGAGAAGCCAGAGGCAGTGCCTCCTCAAGCCTCGAAGGCACCATCCCGGCCAGAATCGGTGGTAGAATCGGTGGCACTTGTGTCTGATCAGTCCAAGGAGGAATCTCGACGCGAATCTGTTGCCGAAAGCCTCAAGGCGGAGAGCACAAAGGATGAGAAGTCACCGATGGCCTCCAAGGAGGCCTCCCGACCAGCTTCGGTGGCGGAGAGTGTCAAGGATGAGGCGGAGAAGGCAGACAAGTCCGCCTTGGCCTCCAAGGAGGCCTCGAGGCCCGAGTCAGTGGCGGAGAGCATCAAGGACGACACCGAGAAACCCGAAAGCCGTCGTGAATCGGTCGCCGCAGCTGAAAGTGTTAAGCCAGAGAGTACAAAGGATGAAGGATCTGCAGCTGCCTCCAAGGAAGCCTCCCGGCCGTCATCTGTTGCGGATGAAAAGTCCAGGGAGCCATCCCGACCAGCGTCGGTGACAGAGAGCACCAAGGCGGAGAGTACAAAGGATGACAAGTCGCCACCGGCGGCTTCCAAGGAACCTTCTCGACCAGCATCCGTGATCGAAAGTCACGTGGACGAAGACGAGAAGCTCGAAAGCCGGCGAGAATCAGTGGCTGAGAGCCTGAAGCCAGAAAGCGCCAAGGATGACAAGTCACCGCTGGCATCCAAGGAAGCCTCTCGCCCAGCGTCTGTTGCTGAAAGCGTCAAGGATGAGGCTGAACGATCCAAGGAGCCATCTCGACGCGAATCTGTTGCTGAGAGTGTCAAGGCGGAAGAGATCTCCAAAGAAGCCTCTTCGCTGCTGGCCTCCAAGGAGGCCTCTCGACCCGGATCCGTTGCAGGAAGCGTTAAGGACGAAGACGAGAAGGCTGCTAGTCACCGAGGATCTGTCGCTGAGAGTGTAAAGTCAGAAGGCGCAAAGGATGACAAGTCTCCGCTGGCATCGAAGGATGCATCCCGCCCAGCATCCGTAGCCGAAAGTGTCAAAGATGACGCTGACAAGTCCAAGGAGCCGTCGCGACGGGAATCTGTCACTGAAAGCGTAAAGGCAGAGAGCACTAAGGACGAGAAGTCTCCACTGGCATCCAAGGAGGCTTCCCGCCCGGCATCCGTTGTGGAAAGCATTAAGGACGAAGCTGAGGCAGCAGAAAGCCGTCGGGAATCGGTCGCTGAAAGCATCAAAACAGGCAGTACCAAGGACGAGAAATCTGCTCAGGCTTCGAAGGAAGTATCCCGACCAGAGTCCGTGGCTGAGTCCGTCAAGGATGAGCCCGCTGCCGACAAGTCTAAGGAGCCGTCTCGCCGGGAATCGGTTGCGGAGGGCGTCAAGCCAGAGGCTTCTCCAATTGCATCCAAGGATGCATCTCGTCCCGAATCTGTGGCTGAAAGTGTTAAGGATTCAGCTGCCCAGTCAAAGGAGGCATCTCGTCCCGCATCAGTGGCCGAAAGCATCAAGGCAGAGAGCACAAAGGATGAAGCTGACAAGTCCAAGGAAGCTTCCCGACGAGAATCAGTGGCCGAAAGTGTAAAGGAGGAGAGTGATAAGGATGCCAAGTCCGCACTGGCCTCCAAAGAAGCATCCCGACCAGAATCCGTAGCAGAAAGTGTCCAGGCCGAGGCAGACAAGTCCAAGGAAGCATCTCGCCGAGAGTCGGTGGCTGAGAGCGCCAAGGCGGAGAGCACTAAGGAGGAGAAGTCTGCACCAGCATCGAAGGAAGCCTCCAGGCCAGGATCCGTGGTTGAGAGCGTCAAGGACGAGACCGAGAAGGCAGAAAGTCGTCGAGAGTCTGTGGCAGAGAGCGTGAAACCAGACAGCGTCAAGGACGAAAAGTCTCCACTGGCATCCAAGGAAGCCTCACGACCAGAGTCCGTGGCCGAGAGCGTAAAGGATGAAGCTGAGAAATCCAAGGAGCCTTCCCGGCGGGAATCCATTGCCGAAAGTGTGAAGGCGGAAAGTACAAAGGACGAGAAGTCGCCCGTAGCATCCAAGGAGGCTTCCCGCCCGGAATCCGTAGCTGGAAGCGTGAAAGATGAAGCAGAAAAGTCCAAGGAGCCCTCTGGTTCAGCCTCCGCAGCGGAAACTTCCCGACGCGAGTCTGTGGCCGAGAGCACAAAGTCGCCCGTTCCATCGCGTCCCGAATCCGTGGCTGAGAAACTGTCGCCAGCTGTGGCCTCCAAGGAATCATCTCGACCCGGCTCGGTGGCCGAGACCGCTTCCTCTCCGATCGAAGAAGGTCCTCGCTCTATCGCAGACCTAAGTCTGCCCCTGAGTCAGATAACCTCCGAGGCCAAGGGCAAGCTCCCTACCATCTCGAGTCCCGTGGATGTGGCAGAGGGAGACTTCTCCAAGACACAGGTTGAGTCCTCGGCCGCACAGTCTGCAAAGTCCGCTCCTGCCAAGCCAGCGGAACAGGCCCAAGCCGATGCAGCGCACACAGCTTCCAGTCCCGTGGACGAGGCCTCACCTGTCCTGGAGGCCAGCGAAGTGGCTGGGGAAGTGGCCGATCTGCTGGGTCTTGAGGAGACCAAGTCAGAGGCCAAGCAGGAGTCCAAGTCGGAAACCAAGTCGGAGACCAAACAGTCCGAGAAATCGATATTCGAGACCATATCCTCCAAGGTGGAGGAGAAAGTGGAGAAGCTGGAGAGCTCTGTAAAGCAGGTGGAAGAGAAGGTCGAGAGCTCCGTGAAGAAGGTGGAGAGCACCGTGGCCGAGACCCTGGAGCAGGTGAGCAGGGAGAGCAGCGAGCAGATCACAGAGCTGCAGTCCGCTCTGGACACCAAGATCAGCAGCGTGACCAGCCTGTTCACCACCGCCGTGGACTGTGCCGAGAAGAAGGTGCAGGAGGTGACCGAGAAGATAACCGGAAAGACCGAGACCACGGAGACAAGCGAGACAAGCGAGAAGACGACCACGGAACAGGTAACCAAGGTGAGCGAGAGCTCCTCCTCCACATCCGCCTCAACCACAGAGACCAGCCTGGAGCTGGGCACCTTTTCGGAGCTGCGCGAGACCCACATCACCACTGTTGGCTCGCCCGAGTTCACTGTCACTATTTGCGAGCGGGATGAGCCCGTCCTCCATGACATCAAGGAGGAGGACGACGAGGAGCATCGTTTCTCTCCGCCCAGCGACAAGCCCGGCTCGATGATTCCTTCACAGCCCATCCGACCCCTGTCGCCGCGCGAGGAGGAGGTGGCCAAGATAGTGGCCGATGTGGCCAAGGTACTAAAGTCCGACAAAGACATCACCGATATCATACCCGACTTTGACGAACGCCAGCTGGAGGAGAAGCTGAAGACCACCGAAGCTGAAGAGCACCTGGAGATTGGCATCATGAAGGTGGAGATCGAGTCGGAGAAGTCCTCACCGGACCAAAAATCCGGCCCCATTTCGATCGAGGAGAAGGACAAGATCGAGCAGTCGGAGAAGGCTCAGTTGCAACAGGAATTGGGCTTGGCATCCGTGTCCATCTCCCACAAGGAGGAGCAGGAGAAGAGTGAGAAGCTGGAGAAGCTGGAGAAGGAGGAGAAGCTGGAAAAGGCATCGCGTCCCGAATCTTCAGCCAGCCAGGCTAGCGACAAGGATACATCCAAGACATCCCAGGCAGCCGCCGAAGAGACCATGGATTCCCTAGAGTCGTTGCTCCGCTCAACAACCTCCACCACCACAACCACCACCACGGAGACCTCGGAGTCCAAGAAGCTGGAGGAAAAATCCAAGTCCAGTGTGGAGTCTGTGTCCAGCACGGTAACCAAATCGTCGGTCCTTCAGCTGCGCAGCGAGGAGTCCACCACCAGCGACTCCCTGAGCAGCAGCCTCAAGGTGGAGGACAGCTCCCGCCGGGAGTCGCTCTCCAGCCTGCTGACCGAGAAGGGAGGCATCAAGGAGGACACCACTACCAGCACATCCGTCTCCCAGCTGGAGGAGCTCCTAGTGCAGTCCGAGGAGTGCTCCTCCGAGTCCATTGTCAGCGAGATCCAGACCAGCACCGCCGCCGGTGCAGTCGCCCAGAAGACAGCCAAGGAGACGCGAGAGGTACTCAGCGAGGCCAAGGAGACAAGCACCAGCAGTTCCATTCGGGATGAGAACCTGAAGGAGACCGTGGCCGAGTTCCTGGCCACCGAGAAGATAGTCTCCGCCAAGGAGACCTTCAGCGCCGAGGCCACCAAGACGGCCGAGGAGTGCCTGAAGAAGGCCAGCGCCAGCAGCGCCTCCAGCAGTGTCACTGCCTCCCAGCGGGCGCTCTTTGTGGGCACGGATGAGTCCCGCCGCGAATCCCTGCTGAGCCATGCCAGCGAGGGCCGCCTCACCCACAGCGATCCCGAGGACGAGGAGCCCGACGAGGATGATGAGGATGAGCGGACCAGCGTCAAGGAGAGCCGGTCAAAGTCCATAGCCACCATCATGATGACCAGCATCTACAAGCCGGCGGGAGAGGAGATTGAGGATATCCAGGAGGAGCACGAGCACGAGCAGGAGCAGGCGCAGGAGCAGAAGACAACCGAGAAGACGCTGCTGCAGTCCAGCGAACAGATCATCAGCACTAGCAGCAGCACCTCCAAGAAGGAGGAGGAATCCTCCTCCTCAACCTCCTCTTCCTCCAAGAAGGTGGAGTCCATCACACTCACACAAATGGTAGAACAGTCTGGCCAGGATCAGGCCGAGGCAGCTGACCGCAAGACACCGCCCACGGCGCCAGTCAGTCCCAGCGTCAAGCCCATGTCCGCAACGGCAGCGGGAGCAGCACCAACCGGAGCTGGAGCTGGAACTGGAGGAGCTGCAGCTGCAACCGGAACAGGAACAAAATGCGAGTCGAGTGCTGCCAGCATTGTCTCCTCCTCGTGCCCCTCGGGCCCTCTGTCGCCGAAGGACATTAGCGGCAAGTCCAGTCCCGGGGCCCTCACCTCGGAGAGCCAGTCCATACCGACGCCCCTGGGAAGGGAATCGCACACCGAGACACCAGAGTCCTCGCCCAAGCCGACATCACCCTTCCCGCGCGTCACCAAGGACGAGCTCAAGTCTCTGGAGCTGCAGCAGGAGCAGATCCTAGCAGGAGCAGGAGCTGTACCGGAAGCCGAGGTCGATCTGCCCGAGCTCCATGAGCTGCGCGGCATCGAGAGCACCACCGCTCTGAGCGGCAGCACGGAGAAGATCATCACCACGACCATTACCACGGTGACCAAGGTTATATCCGCCGACGGCAAGGAGATCGTCACCGAGCAGAAGACGGTCACAACCACGGACAGCTCGGAGCCCGACAGTGAGAAGGTGACCATGGTGACCACCACGCGCACCACCAGCGAGAGCGAGCGTGACCAGCAGCAGCAGCAGCAGCAGCAGCAGCAGCTGCTCCCCAAGGAGGTGACCCTACTGCGCGGCAGCCTCTACCGCTCCAGTACCCCGGGCAGCGAGGATGAGGATGATCTTCTCATGCCTGGCTCCCCACGCAGCGCCACCAGCTACGAGCTCCAGCACTCGAGCTCCGGGGTGAGCAAGCGCTCCGATCTGGATGCCGATGACGGGGATGAGAGCCAGGATGACATTCCGCCGCAATACGGCAGCGAGGAGCACTCGACGGCGCGCTCGATCATGATGCTGCCACGCACGGCCGATCCCATGGCCACCTCCTTCTACGGCGCCCTGCCCCAGGACGATGGCTTCACGGCCGCTCCACTGGGCACCACAGAGCCCATTCCAGTGCCGAGCCAGGGTGGCGGCGGCAACGACAGCCAGTCATCGGAGAGCGTGGAGAGCAGCAGCCAACAAACCTGGGCCGGACACAAGTTCCTCGACCAGGCGGACAAGGACTTCCAGCGGGCCCTCGAGGAGCATGTGCAGGCGCGCGGCGCCGAGGTCATGTCTTCCGTCACCGCCAAATACTCGTACTCGCCCTCCAAGGCCGACGAGGTGGAGCAGCAGATGGTCAGCGGCTCCGCAGAGCGTCAGCGCTTCCCCCTAAGCGATGTCCAGCGAATGCGGGTGGCCGAGACGGGTTTCGGCACAGTGGGACAGCAGCAGCAGCAGCAGCAGCCAGGACAGGAGAAGCAAGAGGAAACTCCAGTCACAGTCACAGCCATAACCACAGCCACAACCACAGCCACAGCCACAGCCACAGCCACAGCAACAGCCACAACGAGCTCCTCCTCCACTGGCGCCCTGCCCAAGGATCGTCTGGAGGAGTGGGGCAAACCCCTGGGTCTGCCCTCGCCCGCACCCCTGCCCGTTGAGGGCGGCTCATCCGATATCCGGACCACGCCCAAGAAGGAGCGCCGCATGGTGGCCACCAAGACGCGTCTGAATAACGAGAAGAATCTGCGCAAGCGCAGCGAGTCGCCCAACAAGGCGAATGTAAAGAAGCCGGCGCCCGTCTACGTGGATCTCACCTATGTCCCGCACAACGGCAACTCCTACTACGCCCACGTGGACTTCTTCAAGCGGGTGCGTGCCCGCTACTACGTCTTCTCCGGCACGGAGCCCAGTCGCCAGGTGTACGATGCTCTGCTCGAGGCCAAGCAGACATGGGAGGACAAGGAGTTGGGTGAGTTTCAGTTGCTCTAAAATTTCAAGGATTTCGTATTAATATTGTCTCTTTCTCTCTCTACCCGGCAGAGGTCACCATAATACCCACATACGATACGGATGTGCTGGGCTATTGGGTGGCCGAAAACGAGGAGCTGCTAGCCAAGCACCGCATCGACCTCTCGCCCTCCGCCTCGCGCTGCACCATCAATCTGCAGGATCATGAGACCTCCTGCTCAGCCTATCGCCTGGAGTTCTAGGCCACGACACCGGGCCTCTTCATAGCCTTCGACGATACCTGAGGAGGGGAGCCAACCGAGAACCAACACCATGCACCCAACCACGACTAGGAACGAGGAGAGTAACGAGAGCGAAGAGCTCTGCCAGAGACTGGAGTCCCTGTAAAACTTGTAAAGTGATGGGACTCGAGAGCTCTGGCAGACAGCAACAGCAATGGGGAGCAGGAGCAAGGAGCAAGGAGCAAGGAGCAGGAGCAGGAGCAGGAGAAGGAGCAGGAGCAAGGAGCAGTAGCAAGGAGCAGCATGACAGAGCGGCGAAGGATATAAGCAGCTGGACGCAGAGCTAATATATGGCGGAGTCCCGGGGTCACGCAATTGACGCCACTTTGTTAGCCATTTATCGCCGTCTATATATTGAGCTTACGCCGCGCTTAACACCAGGAGAGCTAGGTAATTAATTCATATTTTATTTTCAAGTAATTAATTACATAAGAAACCGAAAACAAAATAAGCACCTTACGCCAGTCAAGCGCTACCTTTGTCTATTAAACCAAAGATCAAAAATAGCAAAAATATACAAAGCAAAAAAGCGAAAACCAAAGAAGAAAGAGCTAAAACGAGAGAGAAAACCAAAGAAAAATAATACGGAGAAAGAGTTACAAACAAATGATGATGATGATGATGAGTAAAAAGAAACATACAGAAAATTAAAGAAGAAGTAAAGTAAAGCAAAGAAAAACTCGATATATTATATATATATTTAAAGAAAAAGTCAAAGTAAAAGTAAACAAAAAACAAGTAATATTCATGTTTAATGTATTAGTCTCTAAACTTTTACGAGGTATTTTTGAATTTTAAAAGCGAAGCGAGAAAGAAGCATAAACTAACTAAAACAAGTCAGAGAAAGAGAGAGCGCTACGTAGTTATTAGGATACACACCGAGCAGAGGCAGGAAGAGATCCGGCAACGGATCGAAAAACTTAATCAAACCCCGCGACAATGATTACGATTTAACCCTTGAGCAGAGTCAATAATCCAACCGATGATCCCCGAATATAAACCATAAGCACTGTCTCCGTTAACCAATTACCTAACGTTTTTGTTTTGTTGTTAAGATTAAATCCTTTACCATTTTTGTTCAGAGTTTTCGAAAGACTTAAACCAGGGACATTATAAGGATCAAGATGCGTAACGCGCGAGAGATCCTTTCATGGCGCTATGGCGTTACGCATTTTGATGTTTACAGTGTCGTTGCTTGAACCCTAAAAAAGATCAGATCTATATAGCAAACGATATACGTACACTTCCAGAATAGGGAGCTAAAGGCTAAGAGAGATGATGAGCAGGAAGAGTTAATGGAGCAGAAGGAACAGGAAGAACAGAAGAGGAAAAGGATAAAGGATGAGCAGGAATGGGACTAGGAGGGGGCATCGATTGCTGTTGCTGAAAGGAGCTAGGATTGAGGAAGAGTCGTGGAAGGACGAGGAGGACATAGACGAAGACAAAGTCAATGCTGATGATACTATATAAGGCTACAGGATACAAGGGGGACTAGGAAGGGGGGCTTGTGATTGGGGGGAGGGCTGGGACTTGGGGTTGGTTTTTTATGGTTGGTTTTTTGGGCGATGTTGGGAGACAGCTATTTGTGAGACAAAAAAGCGAAAGACGTGAGAGCAGAGAGTCATAACTATAATACGATTAAAATGAAGAAAGCAGAGGGTACACACAAAGTGAATGTATGAAGGTTATTTTTCTATATTTTTTTTACTTTTTCATAGTCATAGAATAACAAATTTGCAAACAAACAAATAAAAACAAGCAAACAAACAAAATACTTAAACAAAACAACTAAACCGAGAGGCAGCAGAAGGAGCATGATGAGCAGAATTAAACAATTTTAATCACAGAAATAATAAAAAACGGAACAAACAAATTCGAGGCCACTTAAAGAGAAAAAAAACAGTCCAAATGGTAAAATAAAAGAAAACGAGCCAGTTACAATTATAAAAACAAACAAAACGAAAAAAGACAAAACGAGAAGACTCGGCAGACTTTTTTGTAGGCTACGCGTATATATATTTTTGTGTTGCTTTTTATATACATAAATAAATATCTCGTATTAATTATGATGTGTGCAACAGAGCAGCAACCAATCCAAATTCGGGAGGAGATTAGCGGGCAACTGACAACTGACAACACTGGCAAACCGTCCAGAGTCTACAAAAGCGTTTGATAACATAAAAGAAATAAAGCAGCTAAGCGAACCAGCGAAATTTAAGCGAAATTATACACAAAACTAGCACAGAGTCAGGGGCCAGGACATCCTGGATCTCTCTCCACGTTTCCCGCTCCGTAATATCAGTGGATTCTGATGATCCACAGAGAGAATGATCTTTTGATTACCAAAGCAGCAAAGCAAAAGCAAACAAAAAGCAGCAAAAAAGCATATATTGCAGTCTCCGCTTCAAGGATTTTTAAAATGTAATAACCAAGAATGAAAAACGAAAAAAAACGAAAACAAGAAAATTTAAGAAAAACACAGAAGAAAGCATACATTTTATTACGTATATTTAATTATTTTTCAAAATTCGTGCGCTAAGCGAAACAAAACTAAGAAAATAAAGACAAGAAATCGAGCGATTTAAAGTTAAAGAATACTCCACACCCACACACAGACACACTCACACGTGAACTATATACACTATATATCTATATATAATTACATATATATATGTACTTGAGCGTATTGATGTTGCTTAAAAAAAAAACAAAAAAAAACAAGAAAAACTAAACAAAAAATGTGCGAAAATCCGCTAAAAAAGAACACTCTTCTCATCGCGATGAAGATCATTTTTGCCTTTCATGAAACGAATTTCCCCTTAAAAGAAAAACAACAAAACGAAACAAAGATTATGAAATATGAAACTTGTTAACTTTTGCCCCGTATTTTATTTTTTATTTTTTGTTTGTATTTTTGTTTATGTAGTTTCGTTGACAGATCCCGATCCGATCGATCAGATCAGATCGGGTCAGATCAAATACTAACCACACTCAAGACACACTCGTCACACACAAACACACACAAACACACAAGACATGCATCCATTGCCTTATTATCCAGAGAACAAACGATATCTGCATCCATACCTTATATAACTAGTGTAAGAATCAATGTATCGATTTATATCGATCGTATATCGAACCTGTACGAGCGTTTGTTTGTTGAATTTGCTTTTACTTTTTAGCAGCTTCGATTTAAATCAAATATACATACTACGCGCCCGGGCTCGCACACACACCTGCCGCCAGCTGAGAGATCTATAATCGGATGCAAATCGATATATAATCTATAAACTATACAGTGCAGCTGTGTGTGTGATCCGTGTGCTCTATATAATCATTAGTAACAGCAAAACAAAAAAAATGCATGCAGAGTAAATTGTTACAAAACAACGCTAACCTTACCGATGGCCGATGGTATGCATAGGATATATCCGTAGCCATATATAGCCTATAATATACCCAGGAATGAGTCGGCGGATTGAAGGAGTGGAGGATAGCACAAAAAAATGATATCGATTATCGATAAAGGTCAGACAGACACAGAGACACTGAGAGACAGGGAGCGAGAGGTTAGCCGAAGAACGGGCAGGCGAAGAAATCGATATATATATGTATTACATTTTATGAACGTCAAGCTTATCTCAACTATTTCAAAAACAAAACTAAAAACAAAAAAAAAACCAAAAAATCTGAAAATTATAATAAACGTATTTATGTGAAGTCCCGGGTGGTGTCTGTTCATTGTCCTTAAAAGCCTTGCAGGTATTTTTAGTGTCCTACAGGTTCTAGGTTCCCGGTTTCCCAGGCTAATTTCAGCTTGGAGCCACGCCACCCTTGTTGAGCCACCATGATTGATGGGACACTGATGACTTAATGGATAATGATGGATGAGAGGTACTTAGGACTTCTATGGCAGCCATCAGATGCCACTGAAGCACCTGACTAACAGCTCACTGCATTGAGGTATCTCCTAGAGAGCGGTTGTTGCAGGTAAGTAAGTATTGCTCTCAAGAGCAAGCCCACTGGGAGTTCCATTAGCGGAACAAGCACAGAGATAAGACTAATCGAATTTGTATCTCACCCACAGATAGATAGAGCTAACCCTATCCATATCCAATCCATACGGCATGGACACGCTGAAAGCGCTGGAGCCGCTGCATCGCGTATGCCGAGTGTGCAATCTGTGGCACTGGCACCTAGCCCCACCCTCGCCGCCAGACACGGATGGCATACTCCTACGACGATCACGCTGGCTGGAGCTGTACGGCTGGAGCGTGCTGGCGGCTGCCACCGCATACACCGCCTACGGGCTTTTCCAGGACAGCAGCATCCAGGTGGCAGTGGGCGGCAGTGATGGAGGCGACACGAGCATCACCAGCATCGGACACACCGTGGACTTCATCCAGCTGGTGGGCATGCGTGTGGCTCATGTGGCCGCTCTGCTGGAGGCCCTGTGGCAGCGCCGGGTGCAGCGTGACTTTTACGCCGAGCTGGGCGAGATTGACCGGCAGCTGGCCAAGGCCTTGAGAGTGGATACGGAGGGCAGGCTGCTACAGATGCGCCGCCAGACTGCGCGCAGTGCCATGTGGATGCTTTGGGGCTATGCGCTCAGCCAGAGCTTGATTTTGGGAGCAAAGCTACTGGCTCCTGGCCACCAGTTTCCGGTCTACTGGATCTACTACCTGCTGCCGCTGCTCGTGTGTGGCCTGCGCTACTTCCAGATCTTTACCGCCGTCCAGATAGTGCGTCGACGCCTGGACGTTCTCCTGCTTGCCCTGCAGCAGCTGCAGCTGAGCCAGAAATCAACAGAGGCGGCGACGATCGGAGAGAGAGCAGATCCAAAGCCGGAAGACTGCGGCGACCCGGATCAGGCGGCCATGGAACGACTAATGACCGTAAGAGTCGTCTACCAACGAGTCTGGGCCCTGGTGGCCCTACTGAACAGGTGCTACGGTCTCTCCATGCTGATGCAGGTGGGCAATGACTTCCTGGCCATCACCTCCAATTGCTACTGGATGTTCCTGAACTTCCGCCAGTCGGCTGCCTCGGCTCTCGACATCCTCCAGATCGTGGCCAGCGCGGTATGGTCGGCTCCCCATCTTGGAAACGTGCTCGTCCTCTCGCTGCTCTGCGACCGCACCGCTCAGTGTGTGAGTAGTTTACCTCCTGGAACGGGACAACCAGTTAATTTTCTTTTTTTTCAGGCCACTCGGTTAGCTTTAAGCCTGCACCAGGTCAGTGTGGATCTGCGGAACGATAGTCACAACGCTCTGGTGGGTTATCTTTTACTTAAATATATATATTTAATAGCTTTCTTTTCGACAGATTACCCAGTTCTCGCTCCAGCTGCTCCACCAGCGACTCCACTTCAGTGCCGCCGGCTTCTTCAACGTCGACTGCACGCTCCTTTACACGGTGAGTGTACTCCGAGGATCTAAAAGAAAAAAGGAAACTAATCTTAAAAATTCTGCCGCAGATTGTGGGCGCCACCACCACGTACCTGATCATCCTGATCCAGTTTCACATGAGCGAGTCCAGCAATGGTAGCGGATCGAATAGAGAGTAGAACAAAAAATTAAGCTATTTTCGGGAAACCGAATTTTTTATACCCTTGCAGAAAAAAACTATCATGGCTCTGTCAAAAATGCTTTCATTTCCAATCAGAAAACGTTTCCGTGCTAGCTTTTGTAAGGTCAACAAACCAGCATACTGAATTTTAATCTTAAAATATAATTTTTTTTTAATTTTTGATCATTTCAATGATGTAACTCCTTATAAAATTTTCAAAAAATTAGTAAAAAAAAAATTTCATTCCGACACGGCTAGATCGACTCAGCTTTTGATGCTGATCAAGAAAATATATGGTTTATAGGGTCGAAAATGAGTCCTTCGTGAGTTATAAGCAAAAAAGCATTAATATTCAATTCGGAGAGCTGCATTTTCGGTCTGGAATGTTAATGTTTCAAAAATAGGAGAGTCAGAATTAGATCTGAATAAAGGCTACATAGAAGCAACAACAACTTATCATATATCAAAAGTAGTGAAAAATGAGTTGGTCACACCCGATTTCGATGTAAATTCATTTATTTTTGTTGTTGTAGTTGCTGTTTTTTCTTGTTGTTGTAGTTGTTGTTGTACATACTGTGGTTGTTGTAGGCCTTCGATGTGCTCGATTTCGCTTAATTTTCGGCCTGAAATACCAGGCGAACAGAAGGCAGCAGCAAGCAACTTCAATTTTCTGCAAATTCATTGTTCACCCTAGAAGTATGCTACACATTTTTTGCAATTGCATACTTTCGCATATTTTTGGCATTGCATGCTTTTGGGGGCACGGTGTAGTAGTGCAAAATTCAAATTTAAATTTAAATTGTCCGCCAACGATAAATTAATCGATAAATCAGTCAACCGAAAGTTCACAATATGGTCATACTGGCCAAAAGTTACAATATGGTCACACTGGCAAAAACTGTAAATTCAAATTTGAATTTAAATTAACCGCCACCGATAAATAAATCGATAAACCGCGCAATCCAAAAATTTCAATATGGACACACTGGCCAAAAATTCTAGGGTGTGGTGACACTGGCAAGTACTTTTTATTTTTGGAAATTTGCTTGCTGCTGCCTTCTGTTCGCCTGGTATTTCAGGTCGAATTTTAAGTGAAGCCGAGCACATCGAAGGCTTGGCTCTGCAACACACAACCGCACGATTTCACAGTATGTACAACACACAACCGCACGATTTGCACAGTATGTACAACAACAACAACAACCCACATTACAACAACAACAACACACATTACAACAACAACAACAACACACATTACAACAACAACACACATTACAACAACAACAACACGCATTACAACAACAACAACACACATTACAACAACAACAACACACATTACAACAACAACAACAACACACATTACAACAACAACAACAACAACACACATTACAACAACAACAAAAACAACACACATTACAACAACAACAATTGGCCAAATCGAAGGCAGAGCATCTACAGCAACAACCACTCTTTCGCAACAACAATTCGCAATGACAACAACAAAAGATGAAAAACCTGCCACATTTGAATAGAAATCCCTTATATTTCCTGCAACAACAACATTTTTGGAACCAAAATTCCACACAATAGACCTGGTGTCGTGATTCAAAGACTCGGCACAACCAGAGTTATGTTTAATAAAGACTTAAAAAGTGTTTTTAAAAAAGACATTCTTTGCATATGCACAGGTTTGCCATTAAGTCTATGGTTGGGCTGCCAAGGATCGGGTGATCCACGCGGATGCGAAAGCGGAAAGGGGGAGACTTGATGTAACAGGCTGCAGGTAATGAGGGCGATGGAATGAATATGGCATCGATTTAGTCGAAGTAGGGCGAGGAGCAGCAACGGAAGTCTCTGCGGTAAACCTCCTGGGCGGGCCGGAAGGTGTGCCAGTAGCTGGGCGAGCGGCAAATGATCCTGGCCAGGTTACTCTTGAATACATCGTAGGTGGGGTACACGAAGTACCGGCAGTGGCACTTGTGGTGATAGAGACACTCGGTGTCGACAATCCAGTCGCGCGGCAGGTGAGTCTCCTCCGGCAGCGACTGCTTAGCTGTTGGTCCCTCTGACCCCATGTCGTTGGTGGAGGAGAAGCGTGGCTTCGTCTTCAGGGTGATGGCATCCCTGTGGAGGATATATGGTTAATATAGTAGTGATAATTAACCCCGAAACCTCCCCTCCAATCAACTCACTGCAAGCCCTGGTCTATTAAGCGCTGCACGCCGGGACTGCAGATCACCCGGTTGAAGTGCTGGCAGCGATTGGCCCTGGCCATGGTGGTTAGGTACCAGGTGGGCATCAGGCCGAAGCGCACCTTGGACAGGAGGCGTTCGGGACAGTTGTCGGACTCTGTCCAGTTGTGCTCCATCCAGAGTACCATTGATAGGAAGATCTGCAAGGAATAACTATGAACACAGGACTATATTTGACAGGCGAGATACTCACCTCGATCTCCGAGTTGACACTGAGGTAGCAATTGCGCAGGATGTGCAGGAGCTCGTGCTCTGTGAACTCCAGGAACATGGTGGAGCTGACAATGCAAAGAAAGACGCGCGAGATGCGGGTCAGCAGGAGCTCGCTCAGAATGCGCGCCTGCGGATGGTGGCGTGCCTCCAAATAGGCCTTAAAGGCAGTGTCTTCGTTGAAGAACTCCATCTTGTCCAGCGATCCCCAGAGCTGGCGCAGCAGCAGGGGTATCTGCAGAACCTGGTTGGCTGCCACATGGGGAGCACCTCGCCCTGACCCAACTCTGGCAGCTGCTCCATGAAGCGGCGGGCCGCGTAGATCTTGGTGTAGTTCTGCACGACGCTCTCAAAGCAGTGATAGCGTTCGTTGCCTGGGGCTATGCCGGCATTGATGAGGGTCTGCTCGCGCAGCACGCCCAGGAGCTGCTTGGACACGCGGTCAATGGGTGAGGGTGATGGCATCATGACACCGTCATAGCTACTCAGCAGTTCTAGCACAATCTGGCTGGTGTCGCTATCGCCTTCGGCCTCATCGCAGATACGACTCAACAGCATGAGTATCTGCTGGCGAGTGGCCAGCACCTTCAGATGCTCGGTGTTTGTGGGCAGTGTTTGCTGGCTCTTGCTGGCCACAGTGGTGGATGTGGAAGAGGAGGTGGTGGCAGCCTCGTTGTCGTTGTTTTCTTTCACTAATTCTTCTTCAATTTTTGCCTGCGCCTGGATATTGATAAGAGTGGGCACGTCGTCCCCCTGTTCGCGTCGATGTGGCTGCTTCCGCTTGCGCAGCCGGCGATATAAGGCACGGAACATAAATAACTAAAATTTGGATCTGAGTATGTCGCAAAAAAAGAGGCACGATAGGGAGCTGATTGTTAAACTGGATATTACTTGCGACGCGTTTGAAAATCATCTGCGACAATGGAAAACCGAACTATACTGACGTTAACCGATCTGGTTAGATGTACTCCAAGGCCTACTTGACTTTCTTTTTTAAAATTTAAGAGGTTGAATTTAGGTTTTCCGAAAACCCTTTTAGCAATAGTAAAAGTAAAAGTTAAAAAAAAAAAGATAATTTAAATTAGAAAAATGCTCACAGTTATCTAATCTGGGCGCGGAGGGCTATCCCGCTGGGTATCTCCACTTGGTTCACGTTCAACAGGTGCACCAGGTTGCGCAGGAACTCCTGCGACACCTTCAGCTCGTCGTCGGCCTCCAGGCGCTCGAACAGATTCAGCGCCGCCTCGTAGTCGTTGCTGCGGCAGAACTGAGCCAGCAGCAGATCGTAGATCTTCTGCTCGTCAATGGTTCGCTGGACACCTCGCACGCCACGTGCCAAGCGGAGCAGCGTGCGTACTGCTCCCTCCTGACCCAGGTGCTCGCAGTTCTTAAGCAGCAGCTCATGGTTGATGCGGAACTCAGGGTTGATTATTAGCCGGCGCAGCTGGCTCTCCGTGCCCGACTCGGCCAGGGCCAGTAGGAGGGCGCTGTTCATATTGGCCGCTCCATGGACGCGGCTCACGGTCGTCGTGACCGTTGCCAGATGCTGCTGGGCGGTCTGAGGTGTCGTGTTGCTTGCCTGGAAGCGTGCCAGCTCCTGCTCATCGCCATTGCCCAGGCGCACCAGCAGCGAGAGCATCTCAAACTGCAGGGGCGTGTGCTTGTGCTTGCTGGCCAGTCGCTGGAACTCGGCCACCGCCGCATCCAAGTCACCCTTCAAGAGCCACTCGCGCACCACAGGTCCCAGCAGGGCATTGTGGGATTGGCAATAGCCCAGGCTCCGCAGATAATCCAGCATCTCGAGTGTGTGATTTGTGGGTTTCTCCTCTGTGCTACTTGGAGGGAGGGATGCAGCCACCTGGGCCACATTGTTCAGGAGCTGCCACACGTTCTTAATCACATAGTCACCTCCAACAATCTTGTGCTCTTCCGACCGCTGTCGAAGCAGCTGCTTGGCGGACTCTAGCTGCTCCCCGCGGACTAACAGGGCGGCAAAGTCGATTAGCTTGTGCTCGTCCAGCTGGAAGGCTAAAAGGAAAGGGGTTAGTATGCTCGGAGGGAGCGAAGGTCCAGAGCTTCTTACCTGGATAGGTGCTCTTCAGTTGCTCCAACGTCTTTTGGGCGCGCGGCAGGTCGCTTAGCTTAATGTGTAGATCCAGAATGGAGGCCAGCATTCCGGCGCTGGTCTGCACCTTCAAGGCTTGACACTTGGCCAGCAGCTGCTGGGCACGCTCCAGGCGCCCGCTGCGCACGGAGAGCTGCAGCAGGCGGCGCAAAACGCCGCGTGGATTCAGTTGCTTTGCCTCCAGTTCCACCAGGTGGCACTCTAGCTCGTCTATACTCATGTCGCGCGGATGCTTGATGAAGCCGCCGTGCAGGGAGGCGGCATCCGCCGGCAGCGTCAGCTTCGAGTTGCGCATCTTCTGCAAGGCCTTGCCCATGCCCTGGGCGCTATCCTCATCCTTGGGGACCTGCCGCGCAACAGAGAGCAAGGCTTCGGCGGCAGCCGGCGAGAGTTGTAGTTCCAAGCGTTGCAGCTCGTGCACGAAGCGTAGCAGGGCTGCGGGCTCAATGCGCAGGCGCGTCTGCGGTCCGCACATCTGGAGTAGCAGGGCGCCCACAAAGTCCTCATCTCGCTGGAGTGCCTTCTGCTGGAGGGCCTGGACAAGCTGGGCGAAAGGCTCATATCGCTTGGTGGCCCGGGCATTCACCGCCAGCGAGGCCAGCGGCTGCAGCAGAGTCGAGAGCTCCAGACGCGTTGGGTAGCGCTTCAGCAGCTCCATCACTTCGGGCAGGTGGTGCTGCTGCAGTAGGATCCCCAGCACCGGACCCAGCGACAGCGATGGCCTTACGCCCACTGCCTCCAGTGCCTTCACGCTCTCCACTGGCTGCGTCAGGGATTGGTTGAGATGTGGCAGCAGGTATTGGCGCAGCGTCTCCTCGTCGCACTCCACACGCAGGCGTTGCATCTCGGCCACAAGCCGCAGCATGCCGCTTTCGCCCTCGCGTCGATAGTGGTGCAGGATCAGGGGCCAAAAGTAGTGTGGACGCAGCTCCTCGCCGGCGGCGGCCAGGGCCTCCAGGCAGCCGAGCGCCGAAGAGGGCAGGCGGCGCAGGGCCAGCTCTACGAGGAGGTGTAGGGCGCGAGGATTCTGTCCTCGCTGAACCAGCTGGCGGGCAAACTGGAGGGTCTCCTTTAAGGGAATGTTGGCACGGAAGAATTCCTGCAGCAGCAGGCTGCCATACTCGTCGACGTTCTGGTTCTGGGTGTGATTGGGCGCCGGCAATGCGGCCACCAGCTGAATGACCACCTCGGGCCGTCCCTCATGTAGCAGCTGGATGCACAGGCTCTTCAGGGCAGGCGGCAGATCCAGTCCAGTGAGAAACTCGCGCGGCATTTCGTTAACTAGCTGCTGGACAAGCTGTGCGTCCACATTTTGGCAGCGACAACCGCCCGCAGCATCTGAAGTAGCTGGGCATGGCTGAATCCCGTCGTCGCCTGCAGCACTTCCTTGGCACGCTCAAGCTGGCCGTTCTCTACGAGCGCCTCGAACCGCAGCGCCTCGGTGGTGCTGGTGCCCAGCTGAATGCCAGCGGAGCGCATGCTGCCCACCACAGACTCCGTTCCGGCTAGATCTCCATTGCGGGCGTGGCCCTGAAGCAGCGAGTTGAAGTTGCGCTCGGTGAGGGCGAAGTTGTGCTCGCGCATCTCGGCCAGCAGCTCGCTGGCTTGGCGCATGTTGCCTGCCGCGCAGGCCACATCTAGCAGATCGCTGTATAGCCCTGCATCAGCGGCGCCATGGTAGACAGCTATCTCGGCCAGCAGCGAACGATGATCGGGCAGGGATAGCCGGTTTTGGCGCAATACCTGAAGCCGCGTGTGGTAGTGGGCCAGTGTGGGTTGACCCAGCTTTAGAAGTTGCGTCCACAGGCTCTGGAAGAGTTGCTGACGCTCCTGGGCGCTCCGCGCGGGCAGCAGTTCAGGCACACACGATCCCAGCAAGAAGTGCACCTGCTCGACACTTACCGTAGATGTCTTTTCCTGTTGCAGATGCTCAAGCACTCGCTGGCAGTGGTCGTAGTTGAGCAAGCTATGCTGCTGATAGTACGCCTCCAGCTGCGTCCACACCTCCTCGATGCTTGCTGGCGGCCTTGGCGATGTGGTGTTGCGTTTGCTGCTTTTCCTCTCCGTGCTGAGAAAACGCTGCTGCTGGCTGGAAGGCGCAGGTGGCGGTGCCGGAAAAGTCAAAGCCGCCGGCGTTGCAATTGCATAACGCTGGCCGGCTCTCGTGGAGCACGCCAAGCGTCCTGGGAGCTGGTCTAAACGCTGCCAGCAGAGGCACAGTCTCGGCAACAAGCGCGCACGTTGCATTTTGGCCTACTATATGGACGTTTTCCGTCCCAAAAGTTAAAATTTAATTCGCGGAAATGACACGAAAACACGCACCGGCAATTAGCTGTATAATCGATTGACAGAGTAATCGATAGTCAATTACTTGCACAAACCGACCATCAGCTGTATGCTCGATTCGATTGGAAGAGTAATCGATAGTCAATTAATTGCACATACCTGCAATCAGCTGTTTGCTCGATACGATTGGAAGAGCTAAGGAATGTACAGTTTTACAAATATATGCAGTAGTTGAGCGTAAATTAACTTACTTGAGTTGCATCGTCATAAAAACGTATAACAAGGAACAATCCGGAAATTGGCTTCACTGGTGTGGGCATATTTGAGTGTCACAACGCAGGTCCTAGGTGGTGCTGGTGGTCTGCTGAATGCCAGCGGAGCGCTTGCTGTCAACCACAGACTCCGTTCCGGCCAGATTTCCATTGCGCGCGTGGATCTGGAGCAGAAAGTTGAAGTTGCGCTCGGTGAGGGCGAAGTTATGCTCGCGCATCTCGGCCAGCAGCTCGTTGGCTTGGCGCATGTTGCCTGCCGCGCAGGCCACGTCTAGCAGGTCGCTGTATAACCCAGCATCGGCGGCGCCACGATCTCAACGAATTTAGCTGCGTCCACGCCTCCTCGTAGCTAGACGGCGGTCTTGGCGATGTGGTGTTGCGTTTGCTGTTTTTCCCTCTCCGTGCTGATGAAACGCTGCTGCTAGCTGGGAGGCGCAGGTGGCCGGGTTTCTTGGAGCGCGCCAAGCGTCCTGGGAGGTGGTTTAGACGCTGCCAGCAGAGGCACAGTTCCGGCAGCAAGCGCACACGTTGCATTTTGATTTATTTAATGGACGTTTTACGTCCCAAAAGTTTAAATTTAATTCGCGGAAATGACACGAAAACACGCACCGGCAATCAGCTGTATAATCGATTGGTGGAGTAATCGATAGTCAATAACTTGCACAAACCGGCAACCAATTGCTTGCTCGATTCGATTGGAAGAGTAATCGATAATTAATTACTCGCACAAACCGGCAATCATCTGTTTACTGGACTTGATGGGAAGAGCTATCGATAGCCTACTGTTTACGTTATAGCAATTAACTAAACTGGCAGCAGTGGTCGAGTGCCATAGCACTTAACTAAACTGGCAGCACTGGTCGAGTGACATAGCACTTAACTAAACTGGCAGCACTGGTCGAGTGACAAAGCATTTAAATTGCCTCAAGCTAATGGAATTTAAACTTGTACAATATAATTGCGATATTTAAGCGAAAATTAACTTACCTGAGTTGCATTGCTATCTGGATAGGTGCTCTTCAGTTGCTCCAGCGTTTTTGGACGCGAGGCCAGCATTCCGGGGCTGGTCTGCACCTTCAAGGCTTGACACTTGGCCAGCAGCTGCTGGACACGCTCCAGGCGCCCGCTGCGCACGGAGAGCTGCAGCAGGCGGCGCAAAACGCCGCGAGGATTCAGTTGCTTTGCCTCCAGTTCCACCAGGTGGCACTCTAGCTCGTCTATACTCATGTCGCGCGGATGCTTGATGAAGCCGCCGTGCAGGGAGGCGGCATCCGCCGGCAGCGTCAGCTTCGAGTTGCGCATCTTCTGCAAGGCCTTGCCCATGCCCTGGGCGCTATCCTCATCCTTGGGGGCCTGGCGCGCAAGGCCTCGGCGGCAGCCGGCGAGAGTTGTAGTTCCAAGATTTGCTGCAGCTCGTGGACGAAGCGTTGCAGGGCCGAGGGCTCAATGCGCAGGCTGCGGTCCGCACATCTGGAGCACCAGGGCGCCCACAAAGTCCTCCTCCCGCTGGAGTGCTTTCTGCTGGAGGGCCTGGACAGCCTGGACTCTGCAGCAGAGTCGAGAGCTCCAGACGTGTTGGGTAGCGCTTCAGCAGCTCCATCACTTCGGGCAGGTGGTGCTGCTGCAGTAGGATCCCCAGCACTGGACCCAGCGACAGCGATGGCCTTACGCCCACTGCCTCCAATGCCTTCACGAACTCCACTGGCTGCGTCAGGGATTGGTTGAGATGTGGCAGCAGGTATTGGCGCAGCGTCTCCTCGTCGCACTCCACACGCTGGCGCTGCATCTGCAAAAGTTTAAATTTAATTCGCGTAAACAACACACACTGGCTATTTGCAGTATACTCGATTGGTAGAGCTATCGATAGAATACTGTTTACGTTATTGCTATTAACTAAACTGGCAACACTGGTCGAGTGACATAGCACTTAACTTAACAGGCAGCACGGATCGAGTGACATAGCACTTAACAAAACTGGCAGCACTGGTCGAGTGACATAGCACTTAACTAAACTGGCAGCACTGGTCGAGTGACAAAGCATTGAACTTGCCTCAAGCTAATGGAATTTAAACTTGTACAATATAAATGCGATATTTAAGCGAAAATTAACTTACCTGAGTTGCATTGTTATAAAAACGTAAAGCAAAGAAAAATCCGGAAACTGGCTTCACTGGTGTGCTATCTGGATAGGTGCTCTTCAGTTGCTCCAGCGTTTTTGGACGCGAGGCCAGCATTCCGGGGCTGGTCTGCACCTTCAAGGTTTGACACTTGGCCAGCAGCTGCTGGACACGCTCCAGGCGCCCGCTGCGCACGGAGAGCTGCAGCAGGCGACGCAAAACGCCGCGAGGATTCAGTTGCTTTGCCTCCAGTTCCACCAGGTGGCACTCTAGCTCGTCTATACTCATGTCGCGCGGATGCTTGATGAAGCCGCCGTGCAGGGAGGCGGCATCCGCCGGCAGCGTCAGCTTCGAGTCGCGCATCTTCTGCAAGGCCTTGCCCATGCCCTGGGCGCTATCCTCATCCTTGGGGGCCTGGCGCGCAAGGCCTCGGCGGCAGCCGGCGAGAGTTGTAGTTCCAAGCGTTGCTGCAGCTCGTGCACGAAGCGTAGCAGGGCCGAGGGCTCAATGCGCAGGCTGCGGTCCGCACATCTGGAGCACCAGGGCGCCCACAAAGTCCTCATCTCGCTGGAGTGCTTTTTGCTGGAGGGTCTGGACAGACTGGACTCTGCAGCAGAGTCGAGAGCTCCAGACGTGTTGGGTAGCGCTTCAGCAGCTCCATCACTTCGGGCAGGTGGTGCTGCTGCAGTAGGATCCCCAGCACCGGACCCAGCGACAGCGATGGCCTTACGCCCACCGCCTCCAGTGCCTTCACGCTCTCCACTGGCTGCGTCAGGGATTGGTTGAGATGTGGCAGCAGGTATTGGCGCAGCGTCTCCTCGTCGCACTCCACACGCAGGCGCTGCATCTGCAAAAGTTTAAATTTAATTCGCGTAAATGACACACGAAAACAAGACGCACTGGCTATTTGCAGTATACTCGATTGGTAGAGCTATCGATACTGATACAATCAGCTGTTTGCTCGATTCGATTGGAAGAGTAATCGATAGCCGAATGTTTATGTTATTGCTATTTACTAAACTGGCAGCACTGGTCGAGTGACATAGCACTTAACTAAACTGGCAGCACTGGTCGAGTGACAAAGCATTAAACTTGCCTCAAGCTAATGGAATTTAAACTTGTACAATATAAATGCGATATTTAAGCGAAAATTAACTTACCTGAGTTGCATTGTTATAAAAACGTAAAGCAAAGTGTCACAGCGCAGGACGTCGGTGGGGCTGGTGGCCAGCTGAATGCCAGCGGAGCGCATGATGCGCACCAGACTCCGTTCCGGCCAGATCTCCATTGCGGGCGTGGCCTTGGAGCAGCGAGTTGAATTCGCGCTCGGTGATAGCGATGTGTTCGCGTATCTCGGCCAGCAGCTCGCTGGCTTAGCGCTTGTTGCCTGCCGCGCAGGCCACGTCTAGCAGGCAGGTAGGCAGCGATATCGGCCAGCTGGGATCGATGATCGGGCAGGGACAGCCGGTTTTGGCGCAATCCCTAAAGCCGCGTGTGGTAGTGGGCCAGCGTGGGTTGACCCAGCTTTAGAAGTTGCGTCCACAGGCTCTGGAAGAGTTGCTGACGCTCCTGGGCGCTCCGCGCGGGCAGCAGTTCAGGCACACACGATCCCAGCAAGAAGTGCACCTGCTCCAGCACTCGCTGGTAGTGGTCGTAGTTGAGCAAGCTGTGCTGCTGATAATACGCATCCAGCTGCGTCTCCACCTCCTCGTTGCTAGCCGGCGGTCTTGGCGATGTGGTGTTGCGTACGCTGTTTTTCGTCTCCGTGCTGATGGAATGCTGCTGCTTGCTGGGAGGCGCAGGTGGCCGGGTTTCTTGGAGCACGCCAAGCGTCCTGGGAGCTGGTCTAGACGCTGCCAGCAGAGGCACAGTCCCGGCAGCAAACGCGCACGTTGCATTTTGGTCTATTTAATGGACGTTTTTACAAACGTTTCTGCAAAAGTTAAAATTTAATTCGCGAAAATGACAAAAGAAGACAACAAGCACCGGCTATCAGCTGTTTAATCGATTGGTGGAGCTATCGATAGTAAAACAAACCAGCAATCACTGCTTGCACGATTCGATAGAAAGAGCTATCGATAGACTACTGCTTAGTTTATAGCTACTAAAGAAACTGGCAGCACTGTCGAGCGACAAAGCATTTAACTGCTTGCCTCAAGCTAATTTTATTTAAACATGGAATTCATTCTTGTACAAGTTAAGCATAAAATAACAATACCTAAGTGGACTTATGCAACTTACTTGCATTGCATTGTTATAAAATCGTAAGACAAAAAAAATCCCGAAACTGGCTTCACTGGTGAGTGCCCATTTGGGTGTCACAGCATAGAGCCCATGCACGCGTTTTTCGTTTGAATTTGAATTTGAATTTGAATTTGAATTTGAATTTGAATTTGAACAAAAGTTGATGCTGATTCATTTAAATAGATTTTCCTGGGACTGCTCCGGGTTTTCAAGTTGATTTCACTGATCTTGTTGATTTTGTTGTTGATTACAATCCAAGCCACTTATACTTACAATGCAAATTAATTGAATTATTTCAATTTACCCCGGCAGAGACGCTGCTGGGATGTCTTGATATCTTGATCAATTCCATTCAAGATGATCCTCTTCCGTCCCCCGTCCGCCGGAATACACACAGAACACAGGGCGGAGAAAACAAATAAAATCCAAGCATCGCACTCGCACTCAACGAGAAAAGAGCACTTGAGCGGAATAATATAAT